TCTTTAGGACAGTTAAACAAACGAGCACAGTAAAACAATCACTGGTACAATTGGTTATAATAATGATTGTTTCCATTAAGTCAATCGCGTTTTCTTGATAAAAGTTGGTCACTACACATGTACTACAGAATCGATATTCACAGTAGATACCACTTCAAGTGTCTCAAATTGATTGAATATATATATATATATATAAATCCTCCATCAGATATCTATTCGAAATCTAAATATTGAGCTGTTGTTGTGAGACGGAAGGCGCTGAGTTTAATCCCCTATGGAAATGTGCAACAGTAATTCTCATCATGATCAATGTTCAACTTGTTATTTGATCAACCAACTTTGTTATCTTCAACAAACATCTTTCTTACTACTGAAAACAACATTTTGATTAATAAATCATCAATATCATCTAACATGTTGACATAATTATTGACATAATGACAGAATAACTCTGTTGTCCTTTGTTCAAGATGTTATGGTATTACGAATAAATGAATAACTATTTCATAGTTGAAGAAATAAAGATGGGTGTGTTCAATCTCTATGAAAAACATAATATTTTGTTAGTTTAATCATATTCATCTACATGATGTGTTTGTGTGTGGGTGTCTGTTGGTGATTTAAATTACGATACTTCATTGAATAATCCATCATTGACATGTCCCAACATGTCTGAAAATAACATTATAATGATGACAAGTAATTTGATTAATCGGCTATTACTTTCAATCCTTTCAAGTTACAAGATAGACTGTTCTGTTTAGAAGTTGTTATCCGTCGATGAGCCATTGTAAATCAAGAAGTCATGTATTCCTGCTCGTTTATCGTTTAACGATTATACATGCGTGTAACTTGATCGAATTATGGAGAATGTCTGCCGATTTCTTGAAAACTACAACAATATTTTCAGTGATTTTCAAGTTTATCAGAAACAAAGTGAATCAGTCTTTAGAGTTCAGTGTATTCAGCACGTTTAATGTTATGTGTGTTAGGTAGATTCATTTTGCATTAGTGAAATAACTTTGATGTATATGTTGAACATTCAGGGTTACTATCTTGTCTATTGAGTGTTACGTAACAGAAGCTCAATTTCAGTTTGTGTTACTCTGAACGGACAATTTCTTGTAGGAGGAATTTCACAATTCTTAGAAGACACCTATAATGTGTAGATTTAGTTCGTTGAAGAAAACGTCGATTTCTCAGTCGATGTGGCTTTTCGTTAATATAGGGTTGAATATTTTAACAAAACATTTGCATTTGTTAAATCGTATTGTTTTAGAAACCATTTTCGTGGATAGAGTTCGATTTTTAGTATGGAGTAGGTTGGAAATAGGTATTTGGTTCAACCATCAATATGTGTGAGCAACGATATAACCTCAGTGTTGTAGGAGGATGTGAGGATATCAATACTTCTGAATATAAATAAGAAGAATTTTAATTGACTTTCTTGAAATCTTCAAATTCCAAAGTAACTATTTGTGTTGATAAATTTCAGCACTAGCTCATCTTTTTCTTATTCCTTCGATTATTCTTATGGAGTCCCAATGCTTTAAGATTTCTTAAATGTTTGGATGTTAACATGAAATTATCGCAGTCAAATGTCGTATGCACTGAATTTCGATAAGAAAATTAACAGATCTTTCTTTCAGAATATTAACTCATCGACAGTACCCAAGTTAGAATATTTGATATTACAATCAACAATGTGTATATTAACACTTAATTACTTGCTTACGCCTGTCAACCCTCATGGAAGGCACAGGTTTCACACTAGCATTCTTCGTCCGACTCTGTCCTGAGAAATCCTTTCAAGTTGTTATTCATCCTTTTCATGTCTGCTTCCGATTCGCAATACAGCGTTCTTTGGCCTTCCTCTTTTCCGTTTCTCCAAGATAGCGCTTGTTCCGTGATGCAGTTTGAGCATTTCGTAATGTATATCCTATACATTTCCATTTTTTCCCTAATTTTCTCCTCAGCTGGAATGTGTTTGTCCTCTCCTATAGTAAATCGTTGTTGACAATATCCGAGCAACGAAAATTGATTTTCTTTCGTAGGAATTGCTTTTCTACTGTAGTCTTTCCGCTTAAACGAATATTTGAAAGAAGCGCTTCCGAAACAATTTCCTATTCGACTTGTTTTTACTCCATTGACAATACATATGAAGGTCATAAGGGTTCATTTTTCGTCGTTTGTAACTCATAGGCTAAACTTATGTCCAATACTCTATGTATTCTATATAGTATGAACTCATGATTCATCTGTAATTGATGTGTGCCTGATTTCGAATTCCAAATACATTACGTTCATCTGTGCTCAACTAGTTCTATTTGCTATAAACTACCCAATTTCGATAACTCCTAGTTAGTACAATTATTCGATTACTGCTAATTATCACATTGGCGTCGAGATGGAGCCCGTGATGGGACAGTCGGACATATATTCGAATTCTAAAGCCTTCGAAGCTTACATGGAAATGTTAAAAATCCAGACTATGAACAAAGGAGATATTAGACATGTTAATATTGTGGCTCATTTAATCACATTTATCTGGCTTTACCAGGAAAGTGAACTTCAGTCAATACAAGCCTACATTTCACGCGGTATTTGTCTAGAAAGCTAGAGAGACTAGTGTTTGGGAAATAATTGGATCAATACTATGAGTACAAGTGCATCAAATGAAAGTCAAAATCATTGGGCGACAAAATCTAGTCAACCAACTTCTTATCAGATTTCTAATGTTATTTTACCAGATATGGCTTGTCCTAATGATTCACATATCTTTGGTGAAACTTCTCGTAAATCCGAGGAAAATACGTTGAATGAATAAAATCACGATCGGAAATCTGATGCAGTTTTGATCGATGCTGATTTTTTTAATGATCCACTATCCTCAAATGACATTTCTAATAAATTCGAAGAAAATATTTCAAAAGAATCAAATCCTGATGCCAAGCCAAGTATGATTGTTCTTATGATGCATGTGTTTCTTGTGTGAAACTTGTTCAATGCGAAGCACGTGTTCTAAGTGAGCTCGATTTTGATTATAGTCCGGATAACTTCATACCAAACTTTTTTGTCCTCATCATGAAGTCTCTTCTAATGAATACTCTAGTCAACATGCAAACTATGTTATAAATCAAGCCACATCATTTATAACTCGAGGATACGAAGATCCAACACTATTTTGTACGGGAGAATAGTGAGACAATCTATGGTTCGTCATTTATATAACTGTGATTTCAGTACATGGTGATCATATAAAACCCCAGGACTTGGATGAGTTCATTCCAACTTTGGTTGTCAATTCTAACAGTAGTGAGCATAGTCTAGATCACATAGATTCTGTATTCAGTACACAGTCTGACAAAAGCAAACAAGAGGAAGTTTTTATGTATGAATGATTGTTTAACCTTTATTTACGTTGTAAATTTTAATTTTTAGGTTAGTTGATTTCTCGTTTTCAGCGGCGCATTATCATCGGCTAGCATCTGCAAGTTTAGGAGGGTACATATGAAAAATCACTGATGGGTGGATAAATACCGGTAGTCGCATGTTCCATGGTGCGGGGAGGAAATAGCTGATGATTTTTCAACCAAGACTTACAAGCGTTTCGAGTCAGGTAGTATCAAGATAATAGGCAAACGTGCGTCACCTAATTTATCCAAGGGTATAGGGTTGCAGAAGCACCCTGGAGTACAAATAAGATAGGGTTTTTGAAATTAAATGCCCTATGGTTCTTTGTTGTGATAGAAAAAATAGTGACTCTGACAGTGGCTTTGATAAATAGATCAATTACGGTAATAAGATCACTGTAAACGAATTTCTATATCCTACTTACCATGCTGTGTGAGAAATGATTATGGAATAGTCCTGAGATTTATCGGAAATAAGACATCTCGGCTCTATCCTCCGATGTATAGTCTTGAATTATAATTTGAAAATGTTCATCGAATAACCCCTGGCTCAATCCTATCGACTGTGTCAAATGCTGGTTGTTAGAAGCTATGAAAGTTATTTGTAAATAAATGCTTGTGCTATGCTTGCATGTTTTGTTTCATCGAGCATAAAGAAGTAGCAAGAAAACATTTTGATCACCCATCAGTCTGAATAGTGTCACAATTGTTGACGAATCAACTACCGATCTGTGTTTGGTCGTATTGATATTCCAATGCTTAGTTGACCATATTCGTGTGATGGTTAATCGTGACGTTCATTACGTGGAGAGTCGAATAGTACGGCAAGAAGCAATGCACAACATATATTCTATCACAACTAACAGACTTACAGATGATCCAACAACTGTTACCTTATATTAAAAGTAGATGAGGTGACAGAATCTATTAGCTGCAGTGGTATGAAAGTTCAGACACATTGGCTGATATATATATATATATATATATATATATATATATATATATATATATATATATATACATGCAGTATTTCTTTGCTTCAAACATCATTGGCATATTTGTGTTTACTTTGCTTCCGAGTAATTAACAGACATTTATGTACCCGTACTTTCTGCTTCTCACATATCCTGTGTATATTCAACAGCTGGTGTTTTGTCTAAAAGACAAGTTCCTTGTTTGGGTTAGGGTCTTATCACTTCAGCTTGTTCTTGATGTCAGGAAAATTTATTACAGCATATTTTTTAGTAACCAGCTTATTCAACATTCTACTGTTTGAACATAAGAGCAGATTTTGTAGGGTTACCAAAGGAGCTCCAGTTACCTGACTTACCACCTTCCACTGCGAAACTATTCTAGATATTATACCATAGTCCAAAAAGATTTTGTCGGATGAAGCTGGCGCGTACGACAGGACTAGTTGTACAAAAAAGTACTATGGATGGTAATTAATTGTCACATTTGTTGATGAGTATACTGTCTTTCAGGTAATTACTCAATCAGTAATAGTCCTGAAACTGGCAAGCGCAGTTACCGTGCCCCACATTTCATAACTGTCCACCTGTTTTATCTAAATGACAATGTGTCCAGTTAAAGTTGTAAGCGGCTAGTTGAATGCTGCGTTACTTCGGAATGCCGATAATTTGATTCTGTTTACTATGTTGGGGAAGTATCTACAGTTTATGTACTTTGTCTTCTTGTGTTCCACACACCTTTGCAGTGGTGATAAAAATACATCAGTAGTTTATGCTGTCAAAAACTGTGTCTTGTCAGAAAACGCTTCATTTCTTCATGGAATTGTTGGGCATTTGTAAGATATTTCTTTTGTTTTGAAAATTGCTCCAGATTCTCCGATGAGTCTGACGAAAAAGCTGACTATTATTTTAGCGTTTGTGGTTTCAAAACAGAGGAAAACTCATCAGTGTCATTAAATCAATCGATCATCGCAGTTAGTGAAGCCAGTGTTGTAGAATTAGGATCGTTCACTAATTTTACCATTTCTAACAAAGGTACTGTTAAAACATTGAAACTCATTGACAGGTGATCGGCATCTGGTAAGGTTCAATGATTCAGAGATTATAACAGACTTAATTCTTGGGTGTGGTAGTATGGTAAGTTCAAGCACCAAGAACTCTAACTGTTAGTAGGCCGCCTTTCATCTCATCAGTCATGAAAACGATAAGTCCTACAGTTTTGATTTGTTCCATCCTAGTCTTTGTTCTGCTCAACAATCCACGAAATATACTTTCACTGTCATTCTTGTATGGTACGTTTGTCGCTTTTGTTCGTATAAAAATTCCAAAACTAATTTTTCTCGAACACCCTTAGCGACCTCTCGGTTCCTAGTTTTCTATGTCATGAGATTTAACTAAGCATAACTTTGAGAAAATAGACACTAAAGCTCACATTACATATTTTGAATAAAAAATCTGTTGTAAACTCTAAAACATATCATGTTCTGTTACTATTTGCAATCACCATTAATTATTATGTACTATATTATATCGGAAAAGGCTTGTCGTACAAAATCAGTGTGTCGATCCCTACAATACTATCAAATATGTCCATGTATGTGACCGTATCTGATTATGTGAACAAATAAACTTGGTCGTACTACTGTAGTAATATTTTTGCCTAGTTGGGAAGTAGGCTGCTATCCTGTTTTTTAATCGCTGAAGTGTTCAGTAAAAATCCTAATGTGGATTTCATAATGCTATTATTTTGAATCTGCAAATTCTAATATTCCAGTTTATTTTGCGATGTCTAATAACACTGGTCTGACAGTCAGTCAGTCAGCTACAACGTAGGGCCAGGCGCATATATGCATCGATCCAGGTTGCCACACCTCATTAGCACAGCAAGATGAACACCGAATTCATAGGAGTGGTTAGGTCAAAGGTGGTAATATATAGGAGAAAGATTGCATATAAGGATACAGTACAGGAAGAAAGAATTAGTTAGTAGAAAGAAATATATGAAGTGATTTTAATCTCTTAGTTTAAGGGAAGACAGGGAGTGTATACACCTACGCCATTGTGATCGATTCTGAGCCATGTCACCAAGAGTCTCCAGCCATTGGTTACGACAATCACGCAGACCCCAACCAAGTAGTCTGCAATTACCAACATGGCTCAGACTAGAGGTTAGTGTCTTCAAGCACTGATGCCACGTTTTGGTTTGGCCGCCCCTAATTCTCTTCCAACCATCTCTAACACCCATTAGCATTGCTTGACGTGGTAATCGGTGTTCAGGCATATGTAACACGTGGCCCAACCATCTCAGTCGATGAAGATTCACAACCTCATCAACTGATTTACCATCATTACCCTGCGTCTAACCTCACTATTACTTACCCGGTGATCCCAACAGACGCCAGCAATATTTCTAAGGCATCTGTGGTCAAATACTAGTAGCCTACGGGTGTCTTCTACTCTTAAAGGCCATGTTTCGCTGCCGTAAAGTAAGACAGAACGGACTGCCGCGCAGTATACTCGTCCTTTTATTGATAGACGGATACCTCGCCTTCGCCAAAGGTGACGTAAGTTGGCAAAAGCCAAGCGAGCTTTTCGAATCCGTGCTGAGATTTCGTCCAATACTAGCCCATTAGGGCTGATCAGACTTCCAAGATAAGTGAAGTTGTAAACGCGTTCGACTACTTCACTCCCTATCCTTAGTTCAGGTGTTGACGCAGGCCAGTCCTGAAGCAAAAACTTGCATTTAGAGGGAGAGGAGCGCATTCCAAACATTCTGGCATTGTTGCTTAGTGCTACCATAAGCTCTGACTCGACTAGTAGTGTTCGAGTAAAGAGCCTTTACAAGGTTTATGTACTTCTGGGGTACGCCTTTCAATGACAGACACTGCCACAGAATCTCGCGGTCGACCGAGTCAAATGCTGCTTTTAAGTCAAGAAAGACCACCATTGTCGGACGTCGATAAGTATACTTATGTTCTAGAACCTGACGAATGGTGAATATGTGGTCGATGCAGCCACGACCAGGTCTGAAGCCAGCTTGGTTCTCTCGTGTTTGCAGTTCACGAGTCTTAGGCGTCTGATAATTATCGAGGCTAGTATTTTAGATATTATATTAGTTAAACTAATCCCTCTGTGGTTGTCACAGGATGATTTTGATCCTTTCTTATATATTGGAACGATAAGTGATTGCGACCAGTCAGATGGAATAACGTCTAACTCCCAGATCTTAGCTAAAATATTAGTCAACCTAATCGCTAAAATTGGACCACCATCCTTAAAGACTTCTGGAGCCAATCCATCTGGACCAGCTGCCCTTCCTCGTTTCAGGTTAACTATAGCCTTTTGAACTTCTGCTAGAGTTGGGGGGCCTACTTCAATGTTCCATTCACACTGTCTGGGAATGAAGGGTAGTTGTAGAGTCGCTGAAGGCCAGCTGAACTGTTCCCTAAAATGTTCCGCCCATCGTTCTAAACGTCTGGACTGGGAGTAGATGAGAGTATCGGTGTAGAGCCGAGAGTTGAACGCGGATATTTATGACAATGTACTTTCTATTACCAGTAAGTCTAAAAACGCCAATAATATAATCTAACCAAAACATGTTTCAGACCAAAAACAGACTGTAAATCACCAATCCCGGGGAAATGTACGTAGACTTTTTAGGGATTACGTTAAAAGTTCAGATGTACGTCAAACATGGCTTCTGTATATAGTGATACCAGTAATAATACTAATAGTGATAATAATAGTTATTTTCATTTACCGAGTTTCAACAAGAATTATTTTGCTTGTCGATTACACAAACGTCAGATACCAACATAACCTGGTCCCAAAAATATTCACGGTACTGTGTGATTACTTGTATATAGGCATAACATTGTCACATTGTATATATTCTCTACGTATCCTAATAAGCAATATTTTTTGGTCGGAATAACTTCAGTATATATTTTGTTTATAAACACTGCACCATTCTTTTTTGTTCATATCATTGTGTACCTTTCCCAATTTAGTTGTTTAGCTTTCATTGTTGGATATTGTGTGTTAAGTTCTTTAATAAAGAGATACTTATATGGACGACCGTGGCATCAATCTGTTCCATTCACCGATACCTTTGAACATTTGAAAAATCGATTCCAGGTAAATTCAAATTGCCTTTTAGATCCCTGATATTAATCCACTCTTCCAATTTTCATTTGAAATTAGTTTCATTTAGTGGCATACTATCTACTTAGTACTTTATGTTTAAAGACATCAACTGGAAATCTTCATTTAACTTGTGCTTACAGTTTTTTGATACCAATTGGGAGCATTGTACCGTTTCAAAGAAAACTATCCTACAAATATTTGAACCCGAGTTACTCAGTGTTGAAACTGGAGACTTTACTATTAATCTTATGTCACATCGCTTAGCGCTGATCATACTGTATTCTTAAATCAATCAAATCCAGTCAATATAGAACTAGTTCATCCTATAGATGGCCATTACATGGTTATAAAATATAATTTATCCATATTTACTAATAGTTTTGAATGGAAATAATTCCTTAGATATTGCACAAAGCAGATAAAATTAAAATCAACAGATACGGTCTTGTGCCTATTCCTTCATTATAACGCTGTTATCAAAGTATATTTGAACATGATTCAATGGTTCTCGCGCCTAAGTCAGTTGCAATCTACTTAATTCGATCTGCGCCGTTAAGTAACGTAATTTTTCTCAGCATACGCTCATTCTAAATTATAGTTCAGTATACGACCCTGTACCATATGCATTCGAAACCATGATAATCGCCAAGAAAATTCAACTTAATAACTACTTCTAGTCCTATGTAAACAGATTTTACAAACGTTACTTATACTAATCAGTTGGTCTTATCATTATTTCATAACTGACAGATGTTTTTAGGGATAATAATCTAATGATAGTTGCAACAAATGTAGCAAAACATTTATGTCATTAAAAAAAATCGAAAAGTCTCGTTTTTGAAATTGATAAGTATACCATGTATAGATAGTTTATAATAAAACTTAGCAACTGACTAAAGGTTCTAGTCATCCCTTTCAAGGCAAATTTTCGTGAAAAGGTTAATATTACTACCTAGTTATCTAAATCAAAATTGGTCTAGTTAAAAAGAATACTATGTTTGGTGCCTGTTTACAGAAAAAATTAATTTTCAACAAGTGATTGTATAAATTTTCATGTTCGGCTAAATGCTGCTTCATTAATGGTCTTAGCCTTTAAATATCAACTGCCCATACATAGGTCTATATCTTTCTGCAATGTCACTAGGTGGATGAGTGCTTCGTAATCAAATCAATACCGTTGAAAATTCAATTGTTAATCCACACTGATGTATTTTCAACGGTTACACTGATATAGCCCCCAAAAGCCCTGGTACGGCCGGACGTGAGGAGAGTCCGCTCTCCCTCTCGAAATGCTCTCACATGGCCACGCGTATACAGCCTCTGCCAAAGAAGTCCTACTCAGTACCTTCTCGTGGTGGGGGTTTTGTTTACGAAATCGAGAGGAAGAAAAGCGAATGTCCGGAGCTTTAACCGGGGCGGTGAACACGGTGAGTTCACCTAGGAAAGTTGACAAACCCTGGTTCCAAACCAATGGTGCACATGGGCTTCAGTGTCCTGAAGGAACAAATGGCGTATGAACCAATCGTTGGTCACCGGCTACCATGGGACTGCATCTCCTTACGATGCTCCACTGCCTTGTGGATCAGACCTTCAGGTCGAAGGCTCCGGATGTGGCCCCCTAAGAAAACCACCTTCTTCGGTTTGGGCAGTATCACAGCCCACACACAAATAGAATAAATAAAACACTGGTAAAGCTAAAGGATTTCAGCTTAAATATAGGTTATAGTACGATCGATACAAACTTTGACAGATTTAGAATAAACAGTCCAGCATTCTATCAGGTTCACACTTACCTTTACGTATGAGGAATTTTTACCCAGAAATATCATAGAATATCTAGTTTTTGCAACTGTTATAATCATTCTTATGTCTTTCGCATCCAGGACTATATTGTTCTTCATTGTCATCGTCCACAAATTCGCCTTGTTGAACCAGTATATATGCCTCTACCGAATGATTCACCAGAACAATTTAAAACTAAAAATAACGAATCAATATGTGAAAATTCACTAGAACAAAAACAGTTGCTACTGTCGAATTCAGATGATCAACAAGATGATATATTATTGGCTCTTTAACACAGTAAACCAATTATACAAATTGACTTCATATATTAATGGATTTTATGGAATATTTTTAATCATTATATTTTATTTAACACAATCTTCAGATGAACATTATGTCAATTAACTTAAATAACCTACATTTCTTTTATGTTTTGTTCATTTTTATTCCGTTTTCCCGTGATAATATAATACACTTGTCATTATGGTATTCCGGTGCCTTGAAGTATCTTAGTAATATCATTGTTAACTGAATATAGATTGTGTATTATTAATATTTATTAAAATGTTCGAAAGTCAAGTACCGACAATTGTGCTATATTACCTTTTAGATTTTATTTACTCCATATTTCCCGATTTCCCATTTTATTTCAGTTTCCCTTCCGTTTTTTTCTTGTGAATAAGATGTATAAGATAATTGGATTCCAAAATATACAAAACATTGTTTGTTTTATTGCTTGGAGCTTAGAAAATCTATTAACATAGCTTAGTAATTAAAGCAATTAGCTTTCAGTCAGTAGCTTATGGGTCTGAACGCTGAACTAAACAATTCTGTTTTGGGTAAGCGAGTAGTATCATCACTCATTCACTCACTCAATGTTGCTTAGAGATGAGCTCATGAACTTGTATTTGGTAAATCAGTCACATCAACTTTAGCTCTTGGTTCCGTCAAGGTATTTAATCCCACCAATCTAACCTTCAAACGATCATACACTGGACATCTATATTTGATCCTACTGTTATTCGAAATTATTTTAATGCCAATTTACTTGAAATTAATTTCATCTGTTCAATAAGCTGGTGACAGCTTTAATTTATATGACCGAAGCACACCAGAGACAACCTACTCGCTATATTTTGTCTTCTCATCTATATTTCTTTCAGCAATTCATTCCAACTCAGCTTAAATCGAGCCGCATGGATTTTTATACTGACATGTACAGTGCTTTTTAGATAACATTAGTTATAAAGAAACTTATTCATTAGGCAAGTGTCAATATCCTACTCTTGTTTTGATAACGAAAATCTTGTTTAATCAGTTATTGATAAGTAGTAATGATAATAATGTAGGTTATAATTATCTCCTCCAACGTTAGCTTTGTGGCTAAAGAACTTAATTTTTAGCCACTGGATTTCACATTCGAATATTCCCCTCATTCACTACAGTTTGTAGATGACTGACTGTACACTTAGGTAGCATCCTAGCCTTCAGACACTAAATCATATACCTTTAAAGTTTGGTTGTCACATCAATGTTTAGTTATCAAGTAGAATCGAGTCATATGTGTAGGAAGTCAATGAACGGAAAATAAAATCAAATTAACTTTATTGTGTTACACTTGGTTTTTGAGTGTTAATAACATTAAGTTACCGTAAACTTTTCAAATAAATCTTTTAAACTCAATATTAATCCTAGTCGAAGAAGTACACAGTCAAGTGACCAATCCACAAACAAGCTAATTACAAACAAAATGAGTAGGCAGTTGTTTATTTGCCATAGTTTGACCCAGTATTTATCTTATCCCACTTAAACAGATGAAACATTACATACAAAAGTCCTTTTTATTGCTGTAATGTAATTATTCGTCATATTTCTAAATGATGAGTGCTTCGTAGACACTTTTTATAGAGTGTTTTCCCATGAACCTCTACAATACGTGGAATCTCGTATTGCCTACATAAATCGGAAATCTTGGTTACAGTGTGTTTTTAAAAATGACATTCAAGATTTTGTACTTTTTAACGTAAGCCATCAAATATCTTTATTAATTGATAGGATTTAACTGAGTATCACACAGTGTTAGATATTTCTTTAGAAAGATTCTTTTCCACGGGATGTGGTTGCTAACCCCTATCCTCTACTCTTCTCCTTTATCCGAACTTGGGACAGCTAGTAATCCTAACAGGGCTTCAGGCACAATATAGTTGTAACTTTCATAGACATTTAATATAATGTGAAGTGATCCTTTGTTAATATCCTCTTTTCATTGATTAGCATACAATATATAGCATATTACCTGACAATTTACATCTTATTGCTTAAGTAATCAAACCTGTTGATTATTTCCCTTAAACAATTAATTCCATTCTGCTTTAATTAAATCAATTATCTATTATATTTGACATAGCTTTTATCCAACTTAAATACATAAAAATTCATTCTTTTCCATAGTTACTAAAGTGTGAATTCTTCGATTATCGGATGTTATTATAAAAAAACTTGATTTGACACTAGAAATCGTTCAAATGGTAGTAATCACTTTCAGATTATTCATTATGAACATTTTAACGTAAAACAGAATTTAATATATTCATTGTTTTCAATTGTTTGAGTTTAATTTTATTCATTTTAACACAGATACAAGGAGGCACCAAATACATATGCGCCACACAAATCTCATTCGATATGTGTGAGGGGTGTGATAATGCCCGGGTGCCCAAACTGAAGAAGGTTGTTTTCTTAGGGGGCCACATCCGGAGCCTTCGACCTGAAGGTCTGATCCACAAGGCAGTGGAGCATCGTAAGGAGATGCAGTCCCATGGTAGCCGGTGACCAACGATTGGTTCATACGCCATTTGTTCCTTCAGGACACTGAAGCCCATGTGCACCATTGGTTTGGAACCAGGGTTTGTCAACTTTCCTAGGTGAACTCTCCATGTCCACCAACCCGGTTAAAGCTCCGGACATTCGCTTTTTGTCCTCTCAATTTCGTAACGAACTCCCCCACCACGAGAAGGTACTGAGTAGGACTTCTTTGGCAGAGGCTGTATACGCGTGGCCATGTGAGAGCATTTCGAGAGGGAGAGCGGACTCTCCTCACATCCGGCCGTACCAGGACATATGGAAGGACAAATGAAAGATTAAAACTATAAGGATATCAAAATACAATAATCTGAGTATTTAATAATTATACAATGAGAAAAATATTTATACTTAATGATTCTCAATAAGGATACTTGAAATGATTATTTGTCAAAACTCGGGCGAATAATTTGGGAGAAATTGGTTATCGAGTATATAGAAGACAATTAATGTAATAAATTGTATCTGGATGATCTCAGCAATTGAAACTTAACTAATTTCAACGTTTCACCCACCAATCTCATCCGAACTTCAAGGAGGGACATAATCGAAATCAACATTATCAAAGAAGATATCAAGCATAAATAATAAAATTACACTAAAATCTTGTTCAACCGTGCTTATTTTGTTTACAATAAGATCGCAGGATAATACAATACTTTCATGCCCGGGTCGCGTATTACTTATACCTCAAACGAGGGGCCACTACAACTCCCACGACGCGAAGTAAGAACACAAAAGACTGGCACAAACGAAGGATCATTCCCTCCAAAACAACGCGACGGTGAACGTGGTTGAAGATACGACTAGAAATAAACTCAACTCCGGTTCACACTTTCGGCAGTCTATTTAGAGACCAATCAGAATGAAGCGGAAATTATCATTTTTGGCTTGCCTCATTCTTTGTTTTTCCTTTGGCCCCTTCGTGTCTCTGCAAAATTTAATCCTTTAGTATGCTGAAATCCCGCAGCTTATGTGACACTAAGTGTTGGCGCCAATTTTTTTTTAATCAACAACAAGAACCAAACTTGACCTCGAACGTATCCTCACTAACATGATTCACTGACGGTCTATTTCAAAACAACCACAACATTTATTAAGCTTTCTAAGACTGGGGATATCAGTCCAGTATATAATGGGTGTCCGACATAACACAGTCTGACATAATGAATAAAGATGTACAGCCACAGCGAGATTCATGGCATAATCTAGTTTTTTAATAAAAATTACATCAATCTGACAATCTCATTGACTACATGAACGTAAACATGACCATTATTCCAGCCTAAGATACACTAAGTTGTCGTGACAACGTTTAGTATATTCCCACTCAAAAATACACCCATGTACAGATTGATCTGTACGTCCATTTATTAGAAAGAGTTACATATGTAAAAATGAAATGCTCAGAGTTATAACAAATCACATGCCGCACGTCATGCTAAACATAGTTCATGTTAATTTGGTACAAGAAAAAATTGTATCTTGAATGAACATCCCACTGAAATAAATCAATGTTATTTCATTTTTATATTGATTGTTTGGATCTTCTCATTGATGTTTAGGACTATAATTGATCAGTCCTCTTATTGACATATGTGCTTCCTGTGAGAATGACCTCTATATCGCCTTAAGTCACAAATATTATAGGCAGAGATAGATGGTGGCTAGCAGTGAAATTCAGGTCATGTGTTTCGTTCTATTTTGAAGTAAATGGTACTGCGTTTAAGTCGCGGAGTGGATATCAACCCTGGGATGCAGGCACATCCAGCTGACGAGTACCATGATGGGACGAAACGCACGTCCTAGATTTCACTGCTAGTCCTCATCCATTCCTACTTATAAACCAATGTTATTCTCAACCAAATGTCATACTGTAAATAAAATAAGAATTACACTGAATAATCATGTAACTGAATTGAAAACAGTGCAGGGAACAAAGCTCGGGTGGGGACAATCGGATGCGTTTGACAAAGCATCTCAATAAAATCTGAGAACTATATAGTAAATCGTTAATTTGCGAAATCTCCACCAATTGTCTCAAAATGCCTCAGACTTCATTGTTCTTACATTTTCATACAAATTGCATTCTACTCCCACTCTTGCTTTCTTGATCTTTCCTCATCTTCTACAGCCAGACATTACTTTCCTGACTCGCATAATATACTACTTATATCAATATAAGTAGCACGCACCACAACAGTAGTACTCTTTCCTTTTTATCTGCTCCCCCCCCCCTCATACCAGATATGAAAAATCTGTTTATTTATTTGTTTGTCATTGTTATTCGAAAAAAAATAGTAAATGATGTCTTTGTTCACATTCAAGTACAGTTAATCGTTTATGTTTGACGAAAGTATCAGTCATAGGATGCGTAGAATTAGATCGTTCACATAATTAATTCTGGTGTTAAAAGTGAATTATTCTAATGATAATTACAGATTAAATAAAATATAAAGTTTAAGTAGGTATCCATGAATATCGGTGTCGTTAGTTAAGAATTTCCAAGGTGTAGCTCACTGTATTCCGTCTCTTCTCTCCATATCGCTCTAGCTCACTCATAAAACCTTTTTTTGAAATAGTTCCATTCCTTGAAAATCGATCTTATACCCAGTTTCTGATGCATGTAATGCTTTTACAAAACTATTTTCATGCTCATTAAGGATTTTTGAACATGATTTAAAAATTATTTGTGTCCCTTAACCCTGACATTCAACTACTTGAATGTTTTTCTTACATATAATGCATTATACTCAGAACACTTAATTTTATAAACACATTCTTATTGTTTCCTTATCGGTATCCAATGGTTCCCGTTCACTAACTTTGATTTAATGGAAACACTAGCTTGAAAATCAACATTTATATTTAT